TCAATGGCCTTTTTGGGGTGAGGGGCCCAGAACTGAACCCCCTCAGCGAGGGGCGGCCTCCCCAGTGCCAAGCCCAGGGCTCAGATCCCTTCCCTGGCTCTGCTGGCCACGCCAGTGCTGATACAAAAGATGCAAACCAGAGCTGCCAGGGTGATGCCTCTGCCCTCTTGACTGAGTTACTCCAGGCTGCCAAGTGTAATCCAGGGCGTTCCAACAGCTTTCTTGTCCGCAGATTAATTGCTCTGTCTTCATCAAAGAGATAAAAAACCCCGATTAAGCCACTGCTTTAGGAGCGTTTCCCTGGTCCCGCCACCGAGATCAAAAGGGAGTTGAACCAGGGCCAAGGAGAGGGAAGGAGGGAGGTGCGTGTGTGGGAGAAATCCCTGGAAAGGAAAGCCAAGTGCTTCTCCCTGCGTCGCGGCGAGGAGCTTTCCCATCCATAACGCGCCGCGGTTCGACAGCACACACGCTCGCCTGTGACTTCAGGAATATGTTGCTAATCCTGGGAATTTTCTTTCTGACAGCGTTAAGGCATCTCAGCCTTCCCTGGCTCGAAGCACTTTGTGGTCGAGCCAGGCAAAGCCTCGCAGATCCTCGGTAGCCGCTTACGGACGACCGTGCAAATGCTCCAGCCTGGCTTTCGGCGCTGAATTCATCCCTTCTCCCGGCAGGATTCTGTTCTGGCTGCACGCTCAGTCCGAGTTGGCACAGGATTGAAGACAGGGAGGGATGCTCCAGCCCTTCCGTTCCTCCTGAGCCATATCTTGTGGGGATTTCATCATTACTGCCACAAAATATTTTGATTTCTGAGCCGGATGCTGCCTCTCTTTCTGAGATGCTGCTCAGGAGATGCAGCTGCTGCACATGCCTCCAGTGAAGGACAGGAGATGAGAAGGAAGGTGTGAAGCATTGTCTGGCTAAACACCTCCCACCCAGTGCTCGGAAATCTCTGCCTCACCATCTCCATCACCCCTGTTCCTGCAGAGGCATCCCCACATTGCCCCGAAGTCCCCTCCCTTCCCACAGAGCTGCTAGTGATTAAGGGATTTTCCAGTGTAGAAGCTGAATTAGGACAGGAGGAACCAAGGAAAATGTTGGAGAAACAGAAATGCAGTTCACCTCCACCACAAGCCACTTTGAAGAGAAACAAAGACGTTTCTTCTCATTGCTTCAACAATTTTATCTTTTTTTTTTCCCCTCGCAGTCAGTTCAAATAGTTGAAACATTTCCCCGAACTTTTCCAAAAACTAAGAAAATGTTAAGGCAGAAGCCTCATATGTCAGAGTCTGTAGGAAGTTTTGTTCATCCTAAAACCACATTTTCCAAAAATTTTACTGATCTCCAAAGCCTCTTCCCCCACCTTTAATCAAAAGAACAAAGCAGATAATCTCAGACTAACGTGGCTCTTCCTTCAAACTTGCAACCACCCCATCCCACCTCCCACCAGGATTGTTTTTATTTCAAAGTTTTGAAGCCGTTTCCCATCAGGAAACGCACGTGATGGATGGTCCAGAGGTCCAGCGGTAAGCCAGAGCATCACGACACCCCTCTGAAACACCCTCCTACCAGGAACTGCTGCGGTTCCATCACAGGAATAAGACTGGATTCATCATCAGATCATTTATAGGACAAGGAAGAAGGAGCCGATGATAAAAGATGGGGACAAAACCCCACCGTGTGCTTTCGGGAGCAGAGCCAGGGGCTCCTGCCCCTGCGTGCACAGAGATGTGAGTCCCGACTGCCATCCCAGTTTGGGCTCCCAGCATTAACTGGTTTGGCTACTCACAAGGAACACCGACCCCCTCCAAAACCCACAGAGAGCAGCAAGGGAATAACTCACCCGCTCAGAGAACCGCAGCAGCTCGGAGCACACGTGAGCAAAAGCAGAGCAAGCGCTTCCTACCTGGCTCGTCCTCCGGCTCGTCCTCATCCTTCTCCACTTTGCAGCCCTGGTCACTGGGGGATGATGAGGACTGGAGGGAGATGAAGGACGGCAGCTTTTTCAGCCAGCTGGTTGGCGAACTGCCCGTCTCTTTCCAAAACTTCACCTCTTGCTCCGCACCGGAGGGTCCGGGCATTTCTCCATCATCGTGGAGCTGAGATGAATCATTCCTGTAGGAGGCACATGGGAAAAATAATAAGGAAAAATAAACCAATCCCACTTGGCCATGCTGGGCATGGAATCACGTGCACTGGAAGAGGCTGGGGCGAAGCACTGGAGCTGCACACGGAGGCTCCCCAGGTTCCATCCGGGGCTGCTCCGTATCTCTGATTTCTCAGGAGCCAGATCAGATTCAGCCGGAGTTTCTCACTGCATTCCCCCACCCTGCGCTTCCCTGCAAGTTTTCCAGCTCTGAGATGCTCGTGGAGGTGCTGGGCTCTTGTTCGGGTGCCGGCTGGGCAGAGGAGAGGGGAGATGGAGGGTGTGGGGAGCAGAGATGGCTCGGAGACACCCCACTGGGCTTGGCTCAGCCCCAACCCTGCCGCCCTTCTCCGAGCGCAGCTAACGTGACACTTCAGCTCATTCGACATCTCCGATGACGGTGCCAATAAAGGAAAAAAAATACCTCCCGAGCAGCTTCCAAGCTCGGGCGTGCTCCTTTCCCAGCGGAGGATGCCAGGAGCTGGCCCCGGGAGGGGAGAAGGGTCCCTCCTGCTGCCCAGCCCCGTGCTCATGCGTCCTTACCTAAAAAGAGCAAGGAGCTATCTTACATTTCGTTCACACCGGGGACGTGAACTGAGTGTCATTCCAAGGCTCTTCTGTCACCCAGGATAAGTTCGGAGACCCGCTGAGCGCTCGTCCCCCTCTGCTACCTTACAAGGCAGGGCCAGGATGAGGCCCAGGACCGGGCCAGAGCATGGATCAGCTCCCAGGTCCCTCCACTTCCATCCCACCTTCACCCCCATGTCCCGCTACGAAGAGCCATGGAGGAGCCAAGCATCCGAGCCAGGATTTTCTTCTCCCACTCAGCAGGACTATTAGATTTTGGCTTTTAAAGCCAAATTTCAATTTGGCTTTAATTTTAATTACATTGGAATGCAGTCATTGTGCAGACAGGGCTCGGGGTGAGGGCAGAGGAAGGCAAGGGTGTGCCAACCTTAAGAAAATCTGTGATCCTCTGAGGACGAGGACTAACCTGTCCATCACCAGCCTGTGGCTCCATCCCAGCACCCAAAACCACCAGAGAGAGCTCAGAGAGCTTCCAAGGATCAACCAAGGACCCAGCCCAGCATCAAAGGGTTTTGCAAAACCTATCCTATCTTGACGCCTGCTTCTTCAGGCAGTGAGTCCAGCCCCGAGGGCAAGGCCCTCCATTCCACACCAAGGGCTCAGCTCTGCTCTCCGCCACGGCGGTGAGGAAGAGGGATGATGGTTTCCACTTTCCCACAGAGCTATGGATAAGCTGTACCTGCTTTTGGCAGCAGAGGCTCTATCAGGGCTCCTCCATCTCCCAGAAGGAAGGTCTACAACAGCCTCAGAGATACCTGGAGGTGCCAAAGCAGCGTATTTCTAAGGGTGAAGATACCCACACACCAACGGCACGCATTGGGTAGCAAGACACAACTTATCCTCTCTTTCTTCTCCATCAGCTCTGCCTGGAGACTTCTCCCTCGAGCACGGACCCTGCCCACCCCTATTACCCGTGGTGGCTCTATCAGGAAGGCACCACAGTGACCTAACGTCTTAAAATAAACCAGCACACAGATGGCTACACATCTGGGAAATAAAACATCCAGACCTGGCCTGGAAGAAAACTGTTTAAGAGCAGCAAAGTGAGTTTCTTCTGCATTTTCCTACCTGTCCGTCTCCTCCAAGACCCGTCTCCACTTGGAGGGGTGGTCGCTGCGGTCGCCATCTTCTGTCTCTCTTGGGTGGCGCTTCTTCTGTGGGTGCAGCAGCTTGCACCGGGCACCCCTGGGGCAGACGCCTTTCTTGGCAAAGTCGGGGCAAACCAGCGTGTGCTTCTTCTTGCACTGCGAGGGGAAAAGAGAGCAACGTTGGGAAAGGTGGCGAAAGCCCTGTGGGGAACGCAGATTCCCAGGGCTGGGCTCCTTCAGGTGGCACCAGTATTTTGCTAGAGGAAGAGAAGGATGTGTTGGTGCTTCCTTCTCTGTATTACAATACTATCCCATGCCAAAATACTGGTGAAAAATATGAGTGTCCTCTGGGAGACACAACACACTAACCCACAGCTTTCCAAGTGCCTGATTTTATCAACACAAACCACCAAAATCTTAACCACAATGATCTACCCCTAAGTTGGTGCTGCTGAGAGGTCCCAAAGAGGTCATCTGGGCTGGAGAGGCTGGTTTCAGAGAGAACACTGGGTTTTCCTGTCCCAAACATGCCTGAGACATGGAAAGGAGCAGGGAAGAGCAGGAATGAAGCACAGATGGAAAGCTGCCAGTCAGAGAGACCTGGGGGGGTTGATTGCCAGCCGGCTGAACAGGAGCCAGCAGTGTGCCCAGGGGGCCAAGGAGGGCAACAGCATCCTGGCTGGTGTCAGCACTGGCGTGGCCAGCAGGGACAGGGAAGGGATCTGAGCCCTGGGCTCGGCACTGGGGAGGCCGCCCCTCGCTGAGGGGGTTCAGTTCTGGGCCCCTCACCCCAAAAAGGCCATTGAAGGACTCGAGTGTGGCCAGAGAAGGGCAACGGAGCTGGGGCAGGGTCTGGAGCACAGGTCTGCTGGGGAGCGGCTGGGGGAACTGGGGGGGTTCAGTCTGGAGAAGAGGAGGCTGAGGGGAGACCTCCTGGCCCTCGGCAACTCCCTGCCAGGAGGGGGCAGAGAGGGGGGATGAGTCTCTGGAGCCAAGGCCCCAGCGCCAGGCCCCGAGGGAATGGCCTCAAGCTGCCCAGGGCAGGGTCAGGCTGGCTCTGAGGAAGGATTTCTGTGCAGAAGGGGCTGTTGGGCGTTGGAATGGGCTGCCCAGGGCAGGGGGGAGTCCCCGGGATCCCTGGAGGGGTTGAAGAGTCGGGCTGAGCCAGCGCTGAGGGATCTGGGGGAGTTGGGAACGGTCAGGGGGAGGGTCATGGTTGGGCTGGAGGACCTTCAGGGGCTTTTCCAACCCAGATGATTCAGTGATAATGTTCCTTTTCAGACTTATTTTGGGACTGCTGCCTAAACCAGACTCCTACTGAAGGTGCCCCAGGGCTGGAGCTCAACATGGTCTGCTTAGAGCTTTGGAATGAGCTTGGCTGACTGTCCAGGGATGCTTAGCATGGCCAGGGCACAGCACCGGCAAAACGATGGCATCATGATGTTCACCCCTAAAAGCCTTTCTGCCCTGCCGGCCCGGCGTTTTGGTGGCTCCAAGCAGCAACGTTCACAGCCATCCCCACAGACACTGGCTGTGCCGGTGGGAGGGAGTCATCAGCAGTGCTCCGCAGCTTTCCCCAGACTAGGCTTTCTGCTGGGAAATGGCAGGTTTTGGCAGCAGGAAAGGCAGGAAGAGATGCAGGCAGGGCAGAAGAGACACCTTCAGGTGTGATTTCTGCCTGGGTGGCTGGGAACGTTGGCCAAGGGGAGGGAGAAAGAACAGCCTCTTCCTAATCTCCAACTGTTCCCAACACCGTGATAGCAACACCCAGCAACCCAGAGAGCTTGTCCCAGTGTATCCCAAGGGATGGAGGGTGGGAGCAGGTCCTGGAGCTCTGCTGAGCCCCGTGATGTCCAGGGGGACCCACACCCACCCAGGATGCTCCTGTCCCACCCCACCTGATGAGCCCACCTTGGCTCTCACAGGCCAACAGGCACCACATCACAACACCCATGGCAAGACACAACCCAACACACACAGCACAACGCAGGGTCCACAACACCAGGATCCATTCGCCTGTTTACCTTCTCCACAAGCAAAGACACAACCTGCTTTTTCCCCACGTGGGTCCTTCCACACTTTGTATGCCCAAACTGCAAACCTCCTTGCTACAGAGCAGTAAAGATCACAAAATCACAGAATCATCTAGGTTGGAAAAGACCTTGAAGAGCACCTAGTCCAACCATTAAAGATGCTTAAATTTTGCACAGGTTTGGGGAAAATGGGACAAATCCATGGGAAGAGAAACACAGTGAGGGTTTCAGTATGATCATTCTTGCCTGTTTATAAAATCGCATCTTCCTGACAACGTGGGATGTAGGTGAGCTCCTGCCCTTTTAACACAACTTGACTTTGGGAGAACGGGACCAGCTCCCCACGCTGACCTTTGGGATTAAGCGGCAGCCCTGCTGAGCCGTGGGAGATCTCTCCTCAAAAGGGCAGAATTGTTTGGCAGCTCTGCTGCCTGGGGCTGATCGTTGAAGTCGGCAGAGGAGCAAGGAGCTCGTCTGCTGGAGGTTGGGGACAGCGCTGAGCAGCAGGAGGGCTGGGGATCCAGATGGACACACGGCCATGGGCTCAGTGGGGGGGATGGCGCAGTGACAGCACGGCTTTTCCACTAAAAATTCACTAAAAATCCCAGCTTCTATGACTTACCCCCTCTATTTGAAGGAGATTCAATGGCAAATAAGTCTACAAGCCAATGGGCAACCTGAGAATAGAGTCAGCTCTAAACTGCCCAGGCTCTGCCGTTACCCCAAAATCTTACGTTTCATAGAATCATCGAAAGGTTTGGGTTAGAAGTGACCTTTCAAGATCGTCTAGTCCAACTCCCCTGACATGGACAAGAACATCTTTTACTAGAGAAGGTTGCTCAAAGCCCTGTCCAAGTTTCCAGGGAGGGGGTATCCACAGTTTCCCTGGGCAACCTGGTCCAGTGTCTCATCACTCTCATCATAAAATATTTCTTCCTTATGTCCAATCTAAACCTACCCTCTGTCAGTTTAAAACCATTACCCCTCGTCCTGTTGCAACAGGTCCTACTAAAAAGTCCCTCCCCCATTTTTCTTAGTCCCATTTAAGTACTGGGAGGCAGCTCTAAGGTCTCCCCGGCGCCTTCTCTTCCCCAGCTGAACCCCCCAGCTCTCTCAGCCTTTCCCCCCAGCAGAGCTGCTCCAGCCCTCGGACCATTCCCGTGTCCCTCCTCTGGCCCCGCTCCAGCAGCTCCGTGTCTGTCCTGTGCTGGGGACCCCAGAGCTGGACGCGGGGCTCCGGGGGGTCTCACCAGAGGGGAGCAGAGGGGGAGAATCCCCTCCCTCGACCTGCTGGCCACGCTGCTTGGGACACAGCCCAGGACATGGTTTGCTCTCCTCCACCCACTGACCAGCACTGGAAAAGCATCGCTAGAGACTAGAGCACTGCAGCCGTGCAGGCAGTGCCAGCTCCTGCCCGTCCCGAGCTGGTAAGAACACCGATGCTTATTTTGGGTATGGAAAAAACCATCTCCTCCAGCACAGAAAGCTCTATTTAAGCAGCAATTCTCTTGCAAAACACATAGAAAACAGACATTTGAGTCAAGCAGAGGCTTGGGAGAACAGCTTTGAGTTTTTCCCTATCTTTTTCGCAACTTGTGCTGGTCCAAACACCTCCATCTGCAGACGGGATATGGCCCAGGCCAAGAATAAATGCTTGAAAAGGCAGTGACAGGACAGCTTTCAAGGGCAGGAACTTCTCCCAAATATTAGTAAGCAGAAAATCAACCCCCCCAACCCGATAATTGCTTTAAAAATAAGTGAAACAAAATTAAGGGAGAGAAAAAATAAAGGCAACATCCCGTTAGGGATGGAAGGCTGGGATGAACGCGGGGGCTGCCAGGCGATGGAGAGCTGGGGAGGTTGAAAGCTGAGATCATCTGCATGGACAAGACCTGGAAACCCCCACGGTTTATCTTCTCATTCTCCTTTTCCCCACATGCTTTGCCCAAAGCCATTCTTTCTTTGGATGGGCAGTGATAGATGATGATGCCTGCCTTGAAATTACCCGACTCTGATGGCGCAGGATGGGCAGAGCTGTTGAGCCCCTTTGCCAGGGCAAGTGGATCCCAAGGGAAGCATGAGCAAAACCTCAGGATTTCGTGCCTCATACAATATCTGGCAGCAAAAGAGGGCGGGATGGGTTCTTGGGCTGTATCATCACGTTTCTGACCAGTGTCAACACAAAATAATTCCCGTGTTGTCTTTATAGCTGAGGCCAGCTCTAATTCAACGGCACTGACTTCACGCGGTGGCAAGTTGGCCTGATGGTACATCAGACCTAGTGCATGCCGGAAGGTTTCTAAGTCCAACATCACCTCCAGCTTTCTGTCCTCGTGCTGATGGTGACACACTGAAAGCCTTCTGTTAAATATGAACTCATCTGATGCCGATTATTGTTATTTATTGCCAGGGCATCAGCTCTTTAGAGCCTCTGTCCAGGGATGCGAGATCCACTTGTGTAGAGAAGTTTCCAGCACAAAATGGACTTGGAAAAGAGAAGAACAGGAAAAAAGAGCCTTAGCCTTCAAAAGCCACGTGGCTGCCTCACAGTCACAGCTGGGGGTGATGCTGCTACGCTGAGGAATGATGCTATTTTGGGGAAAAGCTGAGAAACCTGGCCGTTTCTTCCCAGCAGGGCACCCGAGGGACCGATTACAAATCCTTGAGGAGAGGGGATGACGGTGCCGTGGTCCCGGCTGGGTGCTGGGATCGGGATGTGCCACCTCCCCAGTGCTCTCACTGGCACCAACCTCCAAGTCAATCATCGTACCAGACCACGTTTATTGGCTCCACGGCAAAAAGATACTTAATAAAGAAAACAAACCATGTGCGACTAATCCCAGGGCCGTGTCCCCAGCTCAGGTTTCTAATGGCTTTTCCATGCCGCTCCCAGCGCTCAGCCCCTTCTTCCGTAACGCCCCATCCATTGCCGCTGTTTCAGGGCTGGGATGGTAAGGCTGGGATTGCCTCCCCGCCAGGCTTGGCGGCTGGAAAAAACCCTTCTGTTTATTTACGGTACCTCTTCTGCTCTTGCCCTGCGTGCCGGAGCAAACACGCCGGGGCTGGGTTGCTGTAGGGTGGTTTGCTGGTCGCCGCGTGTCAGCCGGGGTGAAGCGGAGCGGG